TTCAGTTTCTAATTAATTCTTAAGCATGGTTTGAAGGAAGGTTAGGATACATAGGTAGCATTGTCACGTAGATACTTATACTTATATGGATTTATGCAAGTGAAATACATAAGTGCAGACTTTATGGAATCATTAAAGGAGGTAGATGTCCGTTTGACTATGGAAAAAATGGGCTTAGATAGTTTAAGTGAACTACTTCAGTAATTAACACTTCATGCTGTCAACCGTCTCAAATAGTTGTATCAAAAGAACAAGCAATTGAGCCTATGCCTTCGCCTACACATAGTCTCTCCCCTCCCTAGAAAAATAATTTCGATCGACAAGAAGGGAAAGAGAGTTCCTATCGGCAAGAAACCGTTCCGAAAATGGAAGTAGGTAGGTAGAGGGTTTTGACTAATGCTTTCAGGTTTGGAAGACGACATTAGGACAGACACCACACAATTCGTGTGATCACATTTCACTAACCTTCAGCCACCTAAAAGTTGATCAGTGCTCATCGATCGCTAACGAAATCCCTCCTCCGTTCTGCCTTGAAGCTGCCTCTCGAATCCCGCCAGTAGACACACAGCGACCAGTTTTATGGGCAGATAAACATTTCCAGCAAAAAGAAGCGGAAAACTAGAATGGCCATTTTAGGCTCATTAGCCGTCATCAGCCATCCATATCCAACCCAGGGCTCGAACCTGCGAGATGTTGATCAGAAGTCCAACCCTCTAACCACTGAACCTTACTTTTGCCGGCAATGTTAAAACGTTACTTTAGGCTCATACTTTAGGCATCTTCACTCGCTCGAATTGAAAAAAAGCCGCGCATGAACTGCCTATCCCCCTTCCCAGAATAGCGCACGTAGGATGAAATACCACCTGGTTACCTGAATGACAATAAAACCCTGTGCGTATTGCGTAAATGAAAAGTTGGTACAGTTTGTGGTAAATCACCCTTGTTTTACGTCTCCCTCTTCAAGGGCTGGGTGACATGGAAAGTAGTGAACCGAAAGTGCGAACCCCAGCGACCCGACTGCGCAAGTTCATCACCCGTCTGCTCCTCGGCCTGCTTCTGCTAGTCCTACTTCTGATCATTATCCTCGTAAGTGTCTACTGCGTTGCACCGGACGTTTTTAATGCGGTGAGTTATGTTTTTTCCCGAATCACAGTGTTATTTTACAGTCCTTTTCCAAACTTATTAACCCCGCCTTAACAGCACGCCTATCCAAAAAGATCTGAAGGAGGACGCATAGGCCGGAAGGCGCGCTATGAAAGATAAGATAGACTTTTGAATTAAATATGTGGCTGGATGCCGCGCCTTTACGTGCATCCGGAGGTTAAAACATGAGTAGGTAATCCTAGCCGAAATCGCATGTCCGGCATGGATAGTCAATCACGAGAAACTGCAAATGACCATTTTGAAATTCAGATGAATCGGAAAATAGTTTTTTCACGACACCACAATCAGAAGCCCGTCTAGACATTAATCATTTATTGGAAACGGAAATAGTAACGGAATCCCTATTTTAGTTACATCAACTATTTAACGCTGCTTTTCCCTTTTTGTAGTATCGCATACAGATATATTAAAGAACCGGTTAAACGTCCTCAGTTCTGACCCATAAAATGGAGGCGTAAGAAAAATGCTTATTTAGTGCAATAATCCTCGCTAGCATAAGTCAGGACTCCACTACTTAAATAGTCAAACTTCGTCAAATTCGTCAATTAAGCCTTCGGTAATACACGCGAATAAGAACTGCCCGTAGCAGTGTGGCCTCGGTATAAATTGAAGGAAGGGTACAGATTATCGTGATCTATCAGTAACCCTGACGTCGACCCTTACCCTAAACTTAATACCAAAGCTTATCTTCTTGGTGTTGAACGCGAGAAGTACAGGAATGCTTCTATTCCTGCGTCTTAGCAACCATCTTTTTCGTTCTGACTTATTTACCTTCTAAGAAAGATTAAACTGAAAACGCGGGCGATCTTTAGAAAATGACTAATAAACTGCATACAATAGCCATACGAAGTTATTAAAACACTCTCTCAAGGGTTCGGAATGTTCACAATGCGATCTTTTCTAATCTCAACCAAACTATCGCATTTTACATCTCATAAATGCTGAATGCATTTTCTGAAAATGGTAGCCAATAGCTAAGCAGGCGATCGAATTGTTACCACAGCATGACAAAATACATTGGGGCTGAGGTGGACGTCGAAAGCGCTAACCCAATTTAAGACCTATGGACCGTAGATTTGGCAGACTACTTTGGGTGGTAAATGGAAGTATTGTAAGCCTGTTTCACAGTCTGCTTTTTGCGATTAAGAACGTAGTTTTCGATGTAAACATTTTGTTCTATATAAACTGCGCAGTTTAGTGTAAACCCATTTACCCTCCCGTCATCTATTAATTCATATCTTGGCCACGGTGCTTGAAAGGAATATTTTTTTCTAAAGCAAGAGATAATTTCAAAGCAAAAAGTATCCCTCTCTTTCTAAGCATTGAAAGGTATTTGGAGTGAGAATTTTAATCGTGCCCTTTTATGAAAACAAGAACAACGTTTACCAAACAGTAACATTTCAGTATATATTTTATACAAATTATTTTCACTTGGCAATTTTTACCTTTCCCCAATTTTTCGGGTAACAGATAGGTTCCACGATAAAAGGATGATTGATATTTTGAATCAATCATGTGATCAGACAATTTTTGGCTTTTCCAGGGGAACTGAAAGGCTGCCCATCAAGTTCATGTTACATCGATTGGCGCAAATGATAATCCTTCTACTAGTAGATAGCTGCTTGCTTTTCGCATGCAATTATATAAGCATCCCCTCTTTCAATTTACCTTATTAATCGGGGCTTTTTCTTATACACTTTGTAAATAATGAGTTTAAAGGTGTTTCCTTATCCTTAATTAAATAAAACTGAATTAAACTGATGGAAGAGTGTGTGCTTAATAGAGCAGGTGGAGTAGGACTTCCCAGCGAAGTGCTCGCAAAACTTGCTTTACTCGTTGTGCGACACAAGGATTAGGTTTTCATGTTTCAAAATCACCTTATCGTGTGTTTTGTCATATTCTGGTACCTTTGCATTTAATACTCGACTCGAACTGATTATCGGCCGTAACCATTTCAGATGATCTCTGCAACTAATATCAAAATACTCATTTTTGTCCTAACGGATACAAAACATAATGAAAAGGAAGAAGGTCTTCGGAAAATCGAGCTTTACTTGTGAATTGTCAAGCAGGGAACACTTGCCCGTCATCAGACTAAATAAAAAGTGGACAATAGGATTGTCGCGCTAGAGCGTTTGATGTGGGGAAGCAAGCAGACAGACATTCCTCTCTCCCACTTTTTCGTTTAGTCTGGCAACGGGCAAGTGTTAATTGTTTGAGAATTCAGGCGTAAAATTCGATTTTCCGAAGACCATCCTTTTCATTATTTCATCTCGGAATGCAAACTACTTTGCTTATCCAACACAGCATACTGTTGCTTCCATATATATTCGGTCCTAGAGTTGATGACGATGGTTGACAAGACAGTGTTCAGGATTTCTGCCCTTTAGAGTTATCGTAACGGGTCACTTTTTGTCACTAGTCACGATTCCATGCAAAAAATAATTGCCTTCAAGCCAACCTACCGGACGTGGAATTTCGCTTTTCTTGTTGTTTTTCAGCCAATTCATGCGCACCGAAATTCGTTGTTTTTTTACCTTCCACAATGCATGTAAACTTTTGCCAACAGTAGATCTATCAATTTCTTACACTTCTGCTCTTTATTGAAGAATTTGGCATGGAGCGTGACCGAATAACTTTTAATCTCCTCATCTTTACATTTTCCCGGCTGTTGAGAACGTATCTCCTGTATAAAAATCAACTATTTTTGAGCGTTCAAGCCATCGCTTTTATGAGATTTCCGAGAAAACAGCTTACCAATAATCGGTGGCTAGCAATGGCGGTTTGGCAAATTTAAACAAAAGAGCGATGTCTACCGGCAAGTGTTTCCTTCTAGGGCAAGGTTTCTTATTTTTCTTACGATTAGAACATACATGATAAGGCCTAAAAGAAATTCTATAAAATAAACATGAAACGTTTTTTTAAGTTCATTATGATGCGTGCGTTTGGCGCTGTTAATTACGTGAAAGCAATACTTGTTAAAACATTGAAGATGGGGCCTAATATAGGCCCGCTTAATATCTGTTATAGAACAGGCCTTTTTTATTCCACTTAAGTAAGTACGTTTCGTTAACCCTAGCAAAATGTTAACGGTAATATTAGTGGTTAAGGCTAGCATTAGTTCGGTTGGGATGTGGTGATTTAAAGTAAGAGTAAGGGATAAAGGTTAGCTTCAGGGCTTTAACGTTAGGATTAGGGCTAGGGTTTTAACATTAGGATTCGAATTAGGGGTCTGGGCTTAGGGTTAGCGGTTTATGGTTGGGATAAAGGTTTTGCGGTCAGTGTTTATGTTAAGGTTTTCAAGTTAGGTTTACGGATGAAAATTAGGGTATTAGGATCAGATTTAACGGCTAAGGTTAGAATTAGGGTTTTATTAGTAGCTTTAAGGAATAACATGATCTAAAGAAGACCCGCATCAAGGGGGACCGTGCTGAATACTAAATCGCGCATCTAATAATGGCACCTTTCGTGGCATTTACCCTGATCAACTCTTGAAGGCACACATAATGACTTCTATGCTGACGATACACATGAGTTTATTGTTTTTATTAGGTATTTTGTCTTTGTCTTTCCTTGATTTCAATTTGTCATGTAGTTTTGTACATGTTCTGCTTCCGTGTCTTAAAAATTTATACTTTCATTGCTGGGTGTTGTTGTTGTGTTAACTTGATTTCGGTTTGCCGATGGTCAGTGGTTAGACTAATTAGCTAATTGCGTTTTTAAATGCTGTGCTTGCGTTTTCGCTGGCTGTCTGTGTAATTAAATTAGATGTCGCAAATGCAATTTTTAACCTTTCATCGTTTTGGAGTATACTGTAAGCTGTACCCGTTCGTCTTATCCATAAAATTCCCCTATCATCAACATATCACAGACTTCGTTGTTTTTTCTTTTTGAAAGTGGGGCTATAGGCTATATCGCTGCCAAAACATTGAAAACAATAGGGCATTAATTAAATAGCCTTACCAATACCATGCCAAATTTTCTAAGACTATGTTATTTTAACTGGTTCTCTAGTACTGCATAATCGTTGACGCTGGATCAACATCGACAAAGATTACCCTGTTCCGATGGCGCGACTTCCCATTTCGATCCAATGGGTGGGTTAAGCAAGTGAATCACACAAAAACAAGTAAGTTTTTGAATTTACTTTCTAATACGATGAAGTCAGTTTTATTTTCCTCTGTATAATTATTTATTGGTCCGATGCAATCCCAAAAGAAGTTCAACTGATCATAGCCGACTAAAATGATGCGCTCCCGCAATAACAATAAATTCAATATGTATAAACTTTGCAACGCCTGCTAGTCTGTTGGTTGTTCATCCTGCATTTTTACTGGCTCCAAGTTTATCCGCCAGTTGTTTTAGGTAGTCACTCATTTTAATCATCGATCGATCAGCGGGCAACGAAAAATCGAAGAACAAACGTGTTTAGCCTCCCGCATACGTGTGCCCGACTCTCACTCTCAAGGCTCCATGTAGAATTTTCTCTATAGCTGATGACCATTGTAGTTTGGGGAGAGTTGGGGTTTTTCGAGAGTCGGAGCGGTGGATTAAATTGAAACCAAATTGCTTCCGCTATACGGATAAGTATACTCTGGTGTAACATGCAGTAGATTCCCTATCTAATGGAATCTGCCTTTCATTTGACACGATGCGTTACGAAAAAACACTTCACGGTCTTAAAAAGTCTCGTGATTAAAAAAACTTTTTTTAAAACTGAAAGGTGTCCTTTCGTGAAGTATGCATTTTGAGCTTGTTGCAGGCGACCAGAAGGAAGCCGAGTGATAAAACATGGCTGAAATGTCGTGAGATTACGCTGTACGATAATCATTCTTACAACACTTATTAAGATGGATAAGTGAAGTAAGTTGCATTCCGAGATAATAAAATGAAAAGAAAAAACATCTTTGGAAAATCGAGTTATACTCGTGAATTTTCGAACAGGTATAACCTGTTCGTCGTCAGACTAAATGAAAAGTGAGGGCTGAGAATGTTGCACTAGAGGTTTTTCGGTGGCAGCGGTTACAACGGACGGGGATGGGGTTGGGGGGAGGGGTACGGTGACGTGAATCCTGCGGCGATAGGTTTTGCAAGTAAGGGGAGAGTTGTTAACATTTGGATCGTGGGCCACGTTTTCCAGAAGAAGGGGGATGGGGGTGCAGAACCAGTGAAGTTCTACTCGAATGAGCACGGAGGGAATACTGTTGTTTCAGGCTGGGTATAGGTTAGTGGACCATGCGCGGAAACCGGCAAAGTGTGAATCAAGGTCTACGTGTCTGTTAATACTGGCCGGGCTCAAGTGCCAGGCTTCGAGGAATTTTCTCGCTTGTCGCGTATTAGCCACTGCGATCACCTCGGTGCCATTCCAATTGAAGCGGTGGTCACGCTGAAGGGAGTGCGAAAATACGAGTGATAAAGGGTCCCGTTGGCGAACTGCTAACTTATTTCCTTTGATGCGAGTCTCGAGACGTCGGCCTGTGTGGCCAATATAAACATAAGGACAGCCGGCGCACGGTATGCGGCAAATAATGTTACTTAAGTGTTCTACGGGTAGGGTGTCCTTTACTTGATATAGGGTTTCGCGCTTAAGTTATTTGTTCAAATCGAAAGCACTTTTCATAATTTCGGTTAAAATTTCATGCGATAGTGAATCTACTGCGCCTTTACAGTAATTTTTCCTTAATCATCCATCGTTTTTAAATTATCGAACGATAAAGTGACAGAGGACTGTGTTATACATAGCCGGCTAACCCGAATCATGGGGGGCTATAAGGTTCCACAAAATCGGTCCCAACGACCATAGCATTTTCTAGGTCAGTGGTCAGCCTGAAATCGGAACGACAGGCACTGTACCGAGACTTTACAGACTGACACACGGAAACCGTTGAGAAACAGTGGAGACCGGATGGGGATGAGGGAAAGAAGCACAGACACCGCGACAAAATAAACTGATCGAACAGCGTGCTTGTTATTTTCAAGTTTATCTAAGGGGATAAGACTCGACTCCTCAGTTCTATACATAACCGAAAAACGCTAGAGAGACTGGAATAGCTATTTCTGGCTCAGTAGCCGCCATCAGCCACTCATACCAAACTCCAAGTGGGGCACAACCCGAAGCTCGAATCCATCAGTATTAATATAACCGATTGAAATCGAAAAGACAAAGAGCCCCTGTCTCAATAGGTTAGATCGTTAAACTTCTAACCACGGGGGCCGCAAAAGTTGGGGTTGGGTATGACTGATTGATGATGGCTAATAAGCCAGAAGTGGCCATGCCGGTCTCCATTGCCCTTGTCAGTAATGTACTTCTGTCTATAGTACTGTCTGCTGTGCGGCTGTTGGCGGGCTCTAGAATGACCACGAAGACCGAACGGGACGCGTGCCCCCGCACCCGATTGATGAATGCCAATCCACCAAATTTCAGAGATGCAGTCCAGGTACGAAGCCGGCTAATTTTGGCCAGATTAACCGACCAGTCTGCGCTAATTCGGCGATCCTAAATGTTTGTTTTTGTCTTCTCTCAGGTCCACAAATGTGAACTAGGCTCATGCATAATTTATTGGTGGCGTTTCGGCAAAACACCCCTTATTTTTGTTAATTTCACAGTATCTAGCCTAGGGAATTATAATAAATCTGTTAAAAACCGATCTAGCTCGTTCTG